ATTAATTTTTATTTGTTTTAGCAATGGGAAAAGTTCACCATTATACAGGAGAACCAGTGCCTGATACAATGCCTGATGTAGCTGTAGAAGAACAGCCGGAAGAACAACCAGAAGAGGGAGGAGGAGGACTTTTAGGTGGTGAGTATTGTGTCATAATACGCAATGTCTAATAAGGCCTAATAAATGTCTAATGAAACGTGAAGATTACATATAACGAATTTATAAAGTGTTTTACGAGTAGATACGAGTTAATTAACCGTTTTACTTTTTTACCAAAATATTTGTATTTTAATGTTCTGGAAATATGCTTGATTTCTTTACTTGGCTACATGTTTTAAATAAGTTCTTAATTTGGCTACAAGGTTCTTGAGACTTTAAAACCATAGAAATATTTTCGAAACTAAAATCAGCTTGCAAAAATTTCTCATATCACATTTATTGCTGTTGCTGTAGAGTGATTTTTAACTCAATAACAACTGGATAAGTGTTATTTTAGTCAACATAATTTTATTTATTTAAAAAAAAAACATTTTCTTTCAGAAAATTATAAAAATGGCGTTGATTTGGAAGCATTTTTTAAATTTTTTTTTTCAATTTTTGTTGTTAATAAAAATAAGAGATACTATAATAATTATCATAAGTATTTATTGTTTCGGGCTACAGAAATTATTGTAATGCATTTAGTAATTTTTGTAACAAAATTTAAAGTCTAAATTAAATTATAATTTAAACAAGAAAATAGACTAATAAATTAAAATTTGCTACACTTTGTACAAAATTTGAATCCAAAATTTCGTTTAATATATTTTTTACTCAGGATTCGACACTAAATCCTGACAGTCTTTTTAAATTTTTGGAAAATTCAAAATGTTAGACCATTCTATTTTCTTTGCCATTTTCCTTAAAGTTTGTTGCAAGTTTTTGGACAAAAATTTGGTCATTTACTCAAATGTATGCCCAATCGCCCAAATGGATGGCCGGAATAAGGTACACCTTGGAAGTCTATATTTCATTTTTAAACTTGGCATGCAGGTCACGAGTGGTTCTTTCTCTCATGACTCCCTTAACATACTGAGCACAAATGTCAAGAGCAGCTTTCGTTACATTAGAATGTTGCAATCCCATGACTTCTATAAGAATTTAACTCTTCACTACATTTGTTTGCATATCTGCAAAGCTAGAGATTGAATTAGATTTCTTCATTAGGAATTTTTAAAATTAACGCAAAAAAAATGCTTAATGTCCCCACTTCAATGCTACGTAGGGAGTGGTAGGAAGACGTTGAAACTGTATTTTAGTTCATGATGTGATACTTTAAGGTCATATGTTTATTTCTCTTGTTATTTTCAAAGGAGTACGCAATATGCTGAATTTCATCGCTTCCAGATAATTCTTTAAAAGACATACAGACATAAATTCATTTTTGTATATATTGAAAATTTTCATAAATATTTTTATAAAACAAGAAAAATAGCAATAGGCCTGATGCAATAACAAATTCTAGACGCTGATGCTAAAATGTAACCTTTTTGTTACACATC